AACAATGATCTTCCATGGAAAGTAGCTCGAACCTTGGTCAGAACCACTGACATCTCAAGAATACGTGTGCTGAACCTTTGCGACCAGAAACAAATTATAGAAAAAGGCACACTGGTTGGCACTTGTGAGGAAGTGGATTGGTTACGTCGGTGCCAATATATATCGAGTGGGACCCCCAGCAAGGATTCAGAAACGAGAGTGACCACACTTTTGGAAGACTGTCGCAGTGTTCTCTTCCCGAACGAATTGGTCAAGGCGAAGAAGTTGTTACTCAAGTACGCCGATGTATTCTCGTCAAACGATGCTGACATAGGAAAGACTGGCTTAGTTCAACACAAAATAAACACAGGAGAGGAATTGCCTATCCGTCGGCGGCCAAGAAGATTGCCGGTAGCACGTGAAAAGGAAGTGGAAACCATGATTGAGGGAATAGTGAAGGATGGTGTTATTGAATCTTCATCTAGTCCATGGTGTTCACCCGTGGTGCTGGTAAAGAAGAAGGATGGCAGCATGAGGTTCTGTGTTGATTACCGCCGTCTGAACGACGTTACAAAGAAGGACAGCTATCCCTTGCCAAGAATTGAAGACACGCTGGACATGCTTACAGGAGTAAAATGGTTTAGCACGCTGGATCTAAAAAGTGGCTACTGGCAAGTTGAAATTGACCCTAAGGACAAGGAGAAAACTGCGTTCTCGACGGGAAAGGGTCTGTGGCAATTCAAAGTAATGCCGTTTGGGTTGTGCAATGCTCCAGCAACGTTTGAAAGGCTGATGGAACTTGTACTTACCGGGCTAATTGGCGATGCCTGTCTGGTCTACTTGGATGACATCATCATCGTGGGCCGTACGTTTGAGGAACACCTTGAAAACCTGGGACGCGTGCTCATGAAGATTCAGAGTGCCAATCCCAAGCTGAGTCCGAAGAAATGTTCACTAATCAAACGGCAAGTCAACTTTTTGGGGTATGTAGTGTCGGAAGAAGGTATCCGCACGGATCGAGAGAAAATCGCAGCTGTAAAGGATTGGCCGGTTCCAAAAGACAAGACGCAGGTTAGAGCATTTTTGGGTTTGTGCTCCTATTACCGGCGATTTGTGAAGAACTTTGCAGATATAGCCAAACCTCTGCATAAGCTAACCGAGGAGAAGCGACATTTCTGCTGGGATGAAAGTTGTAATATCGCATTCCAGGAGCTCAAGGACCTTCTGTGCAAAACACCTATTTTGGGATACCCTGATGCAAGCAAAGAATTTATAGTTGACACAGACGCAAGTGATATAGGACTTGGCGGTGTGTTGTCTCAACGTAATGGTGACCAAGAGGTCGTGATAGCGTACTTCAGCAAGTCGTTGTCAAAACCGGAAAGGAACTACTGTGTCACAAGACGCGAATTGCCAGCTGTGGTAAAGTCGTTGCAGCATTTTAGCAAATATCTTCTGGGGCGAAAATTTCACTTACGAACTGACCATGCTGCACTAAAATGGCTATTGCAGTTTAAAAATCCAGAAGGACAAGTTGCGAGGTGGATTGAACTACTGCAGGAATACGACTTTGAGATCGAATATCGCAACGGGAAATCTCATGGCAACGCAGATGCATTGTCATGAAGACCTTGTCCTGAAGATTGCAAACATTGTACTAGGCAAGAGAGTAAGGAAGTGGTATCCGTGAGGATGCTCAGGGCAGACCACCTCAGCAACGAGTGGAAGGACAGCTTACAACGTGCACAGCAGAAAGATCCGGACATCAAGCCGATCCTGGAATGGATGAAGGCCAGTGCTCCCAAGCCCAAGTGGAGCGACGTCTCAGCGATGAGTTCGACCACTAAAAGCTACTGGGCCCAGTGGGACAGCTTGCTGCTTCAGGATGGAGTTCTGTGCCGTAAATGGGAAAATGTTCGGGGAGACAGCTGTCATTTACAAATGGTTGTCCCTAAAGCTAAAGTACCGGATGTTCTACAGCTGTACCATAATGATTATTCAGGAGGCCATCTGGGAGTTAAACGAACTCTACTGAAGATCCGAGAACGGTTTTACTGGGTCCACTGTCGAAACGATGTCGAGGACTGGTGTCGCAAATGTACAAGTTGTGCGGCTGTAAAGGGACCTCAGACTCGTAATAGAGGTGCATTGAAGTTGTACAATGTTGGTGCACCATGGGAGAGAATAGCCATTGACGTGGCGGGGCCGTTTTCGGAGAGTGAAAGCGGTAACAAGTATTTCATGGTTGTGATGGATTACTTCACTAAGTGGCCAGAAGTCTTCGCCATTCCAAATCAAGAAGCTTCAACAGTTGCAGATAAACTAGTTCATGAAGTCTTCTGTCGTTTTGGAGTACCTTTAGAGATTCACAGCGATCAAGGAAGGAATTTTGAGTCTCAAATATTCCAGGAAACTTGCCGAGTTATGGGTACTCATAAAACAAGAACGACTTCTTATCACCCGCAATCTGATGGAATGGTGGAACGATTTAATCAGACATTGGAGAGGTACCTAGCAAAAGTTGTAGACAATCGGCAACGAGATTGGGGCAAGCACATACAACCGTTTTTGTTGTCATATCGAAGCGCTGTTCACGAAAGTACAGCAGTGACACCAGCTTTCGCAAACTTTGGAAGAGAATTACGGCTGCCTGCAGACCTGATCACCGGGATACCACCTGATGCCCCACGCAGTATAACCGATTATGCAAATGACTTGCGGAACAAAATGAATGACATTTATGAGCACGTCAGACAATCGAGCCAGCAAATGTCTGAGAAAATGAAAACCCGGTACGACCGCAAAATGAACAATAAAAGGTTCAACGAAGGTTCATTAGTGTGGTTGCACAATCCAGTCCGCAGCAAAGGGAAATCTCCTAAGCTTCAAGCTAAATGGGACGGCCCGTACCGGATTGTAACCAGGATCAACGATGTGACCTACCGGATACAGAAAGGCGCAAGAGGGACTCCTAAGATCGTCCATGTGGATCGCTTGGCGCGTTATTATGGGACCGATAATGCTCGGGACGAGCATGTATTAGGAGGGGGCAGTGTTGCGTCAATAAGTCAACTAGCGCCATCTAGTGTCAGGAACGAGAGCGAGGGAAGCTTTGCAGAAAATAACATCACAAATCTCTCAACCGACAGCGCCATCCGAAGAACTAAGTTTCTAGAAAATCTACACTCGCACACTCGTCCCTTTGCGCGCATTTACTTGAATATTCCGGATGCTTCTTTGCTAATTTAAATAAATAGGCGCTGCAAGATGCGATCGAGGCAGTATTGGATTTGGCGACACAAGCGAAGCTTCGGAGCGGAATAAAGTGAATTAGTGTGTTTCATTATTAGTGTTTTAAGTTTTAATTTGTGTAAAGTAAATTAAAGTGTTAATTTAGGTAATTTTATCGGCAATTTTTAATTGTCACGAACCTTAAGCTCGTAACAATATTGTTATTGTATCAGGTAGTTTATTATAAATTCGTGGGGCAATACCAAAAAAGCTTTTTTTCGTTAGTGATGTTCCACATTTTATGTAACATAACTTATTAACGTATTAAATAAATAAATAAAAAAATAAAATATCTTTATTTCAGGCAACAGAAAACCCATATAGTATGTTAGTAAAATTGAAGTGAAATGAAGTATAACTTTTATGAATTTTAGTGTTAGTAATCAATTTAATTTAAATAAATATAATAAACACAAATATAAATGAAGATTTTGAGATTATCCGCTAAGAGGGCACCGGCGTCTTATACCTTGGCATGAAGCCGTATCCAGTGCTCAAGCAGCGGCGAGTCCCATCTATCTGCCATTATGTTAAGAATGCTATTGGAGCTGCCCCGCAAACGCTTCAGCATCGATGCAACACGCTTTCTAATAATGGCGTGGAAACCATCAGTGTGCATTTCAGTAAACATTCCTGACGCACTGCATAAGCGAGGCAGCCCCATCAGCATCCTAAACCCATTATTATACTGGACACGCAACGCGCTGTACACCCGCTGCGTATAGTTAACCCATAGGTTGCCCGTGTAAAAAGACTGGCAGTAGGCTTTGAAAATAGTAATAGTAGTACTGGGTGCGCATTGGATTCTTTCTAATTGTAGGTAATTTTTGAAAAATAAATGGACACTTTTTTACAAAAATTGCTGATTTCAGAATAGGGGGTAGTGGAGATTCCTACACCGCCACTACATGGCTAGAAACAACACATACTAATTGTATCGCTAAGTTTTAGGAGGAAATTTTTCATTACTAACACAATAGACCTTGGCATTACAATAACCAGTGACCTCAAATGGGACTCATATCCTTAACATAGTAAAAAGGCAAAATCCATGATGTATATGATTCGAAGAAGCTTTATGTGTCTCACTCCTAAAATATTTAACAAGATCTACCGAACGTACTTAAGACCTCTTTTGGAGTTTGCATATGTGATATGGGACCCGTATTTTCGTAAAGATATAATAATACTGGAAAATGTTCAGAGGAGGGCCACAAAAATGGTAAAACAACTGCGGAACATGACATATGAGCAGCGAATGAGAAAGCTTAACCTCACAACACTAGAGAGCCGTAGGCAGAGAGGTAGTCTGATTGAAACATACAAAATACTGACAGGATATTACAATGTTCCTACTCTGCCGAATTTGTACTTACTAAATAGCAACAAACGTCTGAGAGGACACCAACTTAAACTTTGACATAGGACTGCCAAGCGGAATCCCATGAAGAATTTTATAACAAATCGTGTTGTCACCAAGTGGAATAAGCTACCACAAAATGTGATTGATGCTCCTACATTGAATGCCTTCAAGAACAGATTGGATAAAATCTCCAAACATTAAGATGCACACGCATCAGCTTTTTTAGCTGCTAGTGTGTTTATGTATAAATAATAATAATAATGATAATAATAGCTTTCCTGAAAGTGATCATGGTACAACTCAGGTAGTCGTGCACGTCCGTTAGCCTTGTAGATGCGGAGCCACGCGTCGCTCCCGAGAGACAAACCAATAGTCTGCACAATGCCACCCCTCCATAACCACTGTCCTGAAAAAAGAACAGAAGACTTATTCATTTGTGGAGTTTACTACTTAAGAACCGATTTAAATATATACATATAGCCTGCGGTACATAAATTAGTAGGGATGGGCAGAATATTTGTTTCATATTCGGTATTCGGCATATTCGGCTTTTCAGGGAATATTCGTATTCGGCCGAGTATTGGGCTAAATCACCGAATATTCGTTAAAGTGCTACTCAAGGTGTCCACTGTATTATAATGGACGAATTGAGTAATGCCATGTCTTTCATAATTTTACTATTGAAAGTATATTTTATTTATGGGTTAAATCTACTTGTATAGCGTTATGTTTTTAGGCACTGTAGATTTATTTCCAATTATAGCAAATATAACGCTTGATAAAATGTTTAGGAATCAGACAAGGAAACATTACATTACATTAGTACATTTCACTTTACTTTGGTCATCAGTCTCTCTAAAATAAGTCCCTCATTATTATCATATAATTATCAATTTTCTCTAAGAATAACATAGCGAAATAGTTTTTTCTTACAAAAATAGTCAAAACATAAGCACATGCCGGATATTTGCACAGTACTAGTTGATGCGATAACATGTCAGGTGTGGCCGGGAAGCGAAGGGCAGGGTCCGGCGCTAATCCCGCGCGCTTTATGGTAACAAGTTTCGACATAAATTGGTTAGGTACTGAGATGATCCTGCCGAATAATGTTCGGTCGAATATTCGGTTCGGTGAAATTTTTACAGAACGTTCGGCCGAATATTCGTATTCGGTAAAATCCATATTCGGCCCATCTCTATAAATTAGATGAGGACCGAAGCAGTGTTAACAAGAAGTGGAGTCATTGAATCATTTTTAACGGTTTTTTTGGGGTTAATTTTGGTAGTAGTATAGAAATCGCGTCGAATCATATAGCGAAAAAAAAACTTTCAAAAACCCCTAAAACAAAAATAGCTGATGATCTTCAAATGGCTGAACAGATTTTCTTGAAAAATTGCTAAGAACACTCTCGATTAAGACACCTTTTAAACAAACAAAATCGGGTCAACTATTCAAGCTATTCAAGAGCTATGTATAGGTAACGCCACGAGTGATGGAAGTGCGCAGAACCGAAAAATAGGTGTCGGCACGGTGAGGTGTGAGGTACGGGGAAGCGAAACCATAGCAACGGGCTACGCGCTACTCCCAAGTAGTTTCTTCTTGCGTCCCGTCGCCCGCGCACCTTCTTGTGTCGTCTTGTGTATAGTACGCGTCACGTAAAAAGAACGCTGGCGGTCAAGCTGCGCATAGGCGATTTATCGGTCTACTTGGTGGTATGAGGTAGGGCGCGGGGCGGGTGAGCCACGCGCCGCATGTTTACCGATGCGCTATTGGTTCATCAGTTGAGCTTTGCTTCCCGCGTAGTATCCACGTTACGTTCCTTTTAAAAATACCATCGCGCACAAAAGTTTTAAATTACGAAATGGTTTTACATAGAGAAGTGAGAAAAATGATTTATGACGTATACTGTTTTATGAAGAGGGAAGCTGATAATAATGTAGTTAATAATTTAAAACAATGTATGAAACGGACCGCAGAGGCAACAAAATGTTCCGAGTCGACAGTGAGACGAATAGTAAAGGGTTCAAAAGATTCGGAATTTCTTACTGTTTTCCGAACTCCCGGCAAAAATAAAAGAATCAAACATAAACCAATAACAGACATTGACAGCTTTGACCAGGGTGTTATAAAAAAAATCCACAATTTTCATGTCACTGAAATAGAATTGTCTACCATAGGCAGTCGCGAAGGAAGTTACAGAATGATCTACATTTCCAAGAATTTGCAGAAAGTCTCAGGCGAGTATTGAAAACTTGGGTTTTAAATGGAAAAAAACGGAAACCAATAGAAAAATCTTAATTGAGCAGTCACAAATTCGATTTCAAAGAATTGAATATCTGAGAAAGATTAAAAAATATAGAGAGGAAGTAAGACCTATCATTTACACTGACGAATCATACGTCGATAGTTCCCATGCGTCTCACCATGCTTGGACAGACGGTTCCACCAAGGGCATTAAAAAACCTGTATCTAAAGGTAGCCGCTTAGTCATAGTGCATGCGGGTGGCGATGCAGGTTTTGTGCCGAATGCTTTACTGACGTTTAAAGCCGGTACAAAAAGCGGCGACTACCATGACAATATGAATTCTGAAAATTACGAGTGGTGGCTCCGTACTCAACTGATACCAAATTTACCGCCTAATTCAGTCGTGGTAGTCGATAATGCATCGTACCACAATAAACATCTCGATGCTGCACCAACGTCCAATTCAAAGAAAGCAGACATGCAAACCTGGCTTCGTCAAAAAGGTATTGAATTTGAAGAAACCATGCTAAAGCCGGAGTTGTACAACTTAATAAAAAAATGCAAAGATAAATTTAAGAAATTTAATATCGATGCTATTTTGAACGAAGCAGGACATTTTGTACTTCGTTTGCCCCCATATCACCCGGACCTGAATACTATTGAAATGGCCTGGTCCCAAATAAAAAATTATGTTGCCTGTAAAAATGTAACTTGGAACCTGACACGTATAACTGAGTTGATTCATGAAAAAGTAAATTTAATGGGAGCAACAGAATGGGGGAAGCTATGCACGAAGGTAAAAGAAATAGAGGCTGATTACTGTAAAAGCGATCATGTGGTGGACATGATGACAGAAACATTTGCTATCCACATAGGGGATCATGATTCCGACTCAGATGAGGATGGAAGCTCGAGTGACGACAGCGACGACGATGAAATGGCCACTTCTAGCACCAACACCGCGTCCTCATCTGGTTTTCACGTCACGCATGATGACTTAATGGAAGTAGTTTCAACATTACTTTAATTTTATTTCGATTAAACATTCTATAATGCATAATTCAAACATGTTTTTAATTCATTTTATTGATATTTTATCTAATATATTTTTCAATGTTATAACTAATAAGAATAACAAATATATAGGTACGAAGCCACGACCCGCGAGCGAAAGCCTAGTTAAAAAATAAATTAATAGGCACATAACTTTCGTGCGAGACTGTACCCATGCGCAAACACACTCCCACCACTTTCTTCCAGCGTTCTTTTTACGTGACGCGTGCTATACTATCGATGTCGAAAGTGTTAGGTCACGAACACTCCCTGTTATAAAATTTTAAATTTTTGCGATTACTTATGTACTTTTAAAAATATTGTTCTATAATATTTTCAAATAATGTGCAAATATTTATTACTTTATAAATTATTTTGGGACTATTTAAAATAGCTTAGTTCGTAGTATATTGTATAAAGTTGTAAATATTTTGTTATTTTCTACAAGATGAAATAATATTATCCTTATAATCGAAGGCTATCGCATAGTATAGTTTAAACAGCAATTATAAATACAAATACAAAACATTTTATTTCTTTAACTAAGTGTACATAAAATGAAGAATATTATTTAGAAGCAGTTAAAACCTAACGATGATATATAAATATAATGTTGACCTTTGACTTTTTACATATTAAAATGCCATAATAAAATTTTAATTTTTCTGCTTGATTGTACATGTGCAGTAGACTATATTTAATTTCATCTTACGTGGCACAAAGATTTACCCACGGTAGCTAACTGTGAAGGATGATGGTGAGATTCACCACTTTTCACTTTTCACTGAGATTCACTCCGGGTAGTCTGCAGTCTGCGAACTTGTTCAAGATCGTACCCACCATTACATTCGATTTGATAAACCACAAATCCTCGCAAAAGAACACCGATTCCTACCAAGGATGATACGCGAGGCTATTGAAATTAAAAAACATCCAAATTTCAATAGAGAAGATGGATGGATGGGCGCTGCCACCTGCTTGGGATCCTATAATTAACAAAATTAAACCCAACCCTAAGCATACCACTGCAAGACTTCATGACACTATAAGCTCGTTTTGCGTAAATCGGACCAAAATTTAATATTCAAAAACTGAAGGTAGACGGACTAACTATGACATTGGGACGTCAAACATCTCAGTCCCCCCATGACCATGGGTGCTGTAAAGCACCCGAAACGTCGGGAATTAAAAATAAGTAAAAGTAGTAAATAAACGCGATAAAATCCGTAAATTAAGTTTTATTCAATGTGGTGTTCGCGTAAATTTAAGAAATCATCTCCAATGAAGTATTTTGATACCGGTTTTTTTGTCACTGGTATTTTAAAGTAGACATACTTAAAGCCCTTATATTCGATTTTACAAGTACGAAACTATGCCTAGTCGGTATCATAATTATTAGCAATATCACTCCCGCCAGACAAGCGGTCACAAGGTTGAATACAGGAGTAATTCAGAACTTCGATAAACCCTTGGTTCCCAAAGGAATCAAATATCCCGCGGCCCTCCGCCGACCCACAAAAACAGGCAGACTCTGTAGTAGAATCTCTAAACCTAGTGTATAACACTATGAATAAGATCAATATAGAGGAAATCCTTATCCTTGCGCGTAAACTGCGCACCGCTCAGTCCCCTCAGGACCGTCTCCTTGCTCTTACTGAGCACATCAACCTACTAAGGTCTTTGTAATTACACTATGCCGGAGCCCTCTGCACCCGCAATATCTCACGGTCGTATCAAACCAAAGGGTTTGTCGTTTGCTTCATTCAATATCCGCGGTTTGCGAAATAACCTCCCAGAGCTTAGGCTATTTCTTCGAGATCGCGAAGCCGACCTCCTCCTCCTTCAGGAGACCCACCTCAGCCCCAAGGTCTCTAAAGGCCTTTCTATTAAAAATTATTCACTTCTGCGTAATGACAGACCCGACCGCAAAGGCGGCGGTACTGCCATTTATTACAAAAAGTCCCTTCATTGCTCCGACATATCTACTCCGACGCTTACCAGTATGGAAGCCACTATCACTAGATTAGCCATGACCGCACACCAGTCAATCATTATAGCCTCTTGCTATATCCCTAGCGGAACCCTCCCCGTTAAGAGTGATTTCGAAG